TTCTTACTCCACACCCAGACTGATCTATCCTTCCCCAAACCTTCCCATACCAAACCCTCCCCTAGCCTCCTGTCCCTGGAGCCTCCCCTCTGAGATGTAAATCCAGCTGTTTGGGATACCAACCATCCCAGAATAGCCCTTCGTCATACCTCGGTTGTAATCAAACTTTTCGCTTGTCCTCCTAACCCTTGCCAATGTGTCTCCTCCACCTGGTACCCTTTCTCCCCCTGACCCTAACCCTTGAATTACCTGAGTATATCAATCAAACAATTCATTTAACCACTTCCCTCCTCAAACAATCCAATTCTTCATTGGCACCAGCGTGCTGGGTCTGCCTCCATCTCTCACAAGCTGCTAACCAAGCTTTTTCAGTGTCTCCACAAGCATGACTCGCCAAACCTGCTGGATTGCACTACCATTTAAACCTGTGCCCAGAATTCAAAGCATTACATGGTGACAGCTGGAACAGAGGAAAAAACTTACGCAAAAGGGCCGACATCAATAACTTCAAAATGGCCTTAGACACCCTCCAACCTCACCAACACCTCATCCACGGGCCTATCCAGGCTCGTGATACCCTAGCATACCAAGCCCCTCCTTATATCTCCCATCAGCCCTTCCCAGGATCTTCTGAAGTTGGGTCCCTATCACAAATAACCTGCAATTTTACACTCCATGTCCCAGGTCCACTGGGTCACCTTAATCTTCCTGTTCAGGCTGGGCTACATCTTACCTTAGGATCACACTACCACCCATGATCTCCACCACTGGAACCTCCCCAGGTAGCCTCTATTGTCAAGGACAAAACTCTCATCCTGACATTCCTGGAATGGGAAATAGGTGGCCATCTGTCCCAACCCCAGTTGACACAAAGGGCACATACTGTCTCCTCCCCCTACCAGAAAAGGGGTATACTTGACTTTTTATAGATCTCAATACCCTCAGGCTGATTCAAGAGATGCCCCTCCCTCAATAGCAGTACTTGTCATTTCAACCCCTGACCACCATGAGCCTAGGACATTCAATTATCTTTTGGTATAACCGAGAGAACACCAAAAATGACCTGATACAGGTAAAATCTTTCAAGTCTCACAGCTCGATCTCTCTCCCTGCCTTGATCTTGTCCCCGGCCTTTTTTGGGTATGTGGAACAAATGTCTATCTATGTCTCCCTACCAACTGGACAGGAACCTGCACTTTAGCATACCTATCCTTCTGAATTAATCTCTTGACTCCAAACACCCTGATCCCTATCTCAGAGTCCCACGATACCCCAATAAGTCAGCAAAGAGCAGTCCAGCTCATTCAAGGCTTGGACCTTCTCACGGTGCCCACAGGGGACTATGTACTCTTCTACAAGAGCAATGCTGCATCTATACTAACCAATCCCATCGAGTTCGAGATGGCGCACAGTGCCTCCGAGATTTAGCCAACAAACTCCAAGTCCAAGCAACAGCATCTCCCTCTTGGTTCTTAGGAAATCTCCCATCCTGATTCATACCTCTTATAACTCCCTTTATTAGCCTACTCCTAATTTGTTCCTTTCTCCCTTGTCTTATCAGCCTGGTGCAACACTTCTTAACTGAACAGGTGGCAGCAAACACCCAAGCAACCATCCAAGATCATGTGAAAGCTATGTTCCTTCTCTAGACTCCACAAAGGAACAGCAGAACATCCTCCACCCCTGATCAGCAGGAAGCAGTCAGATACAAAGGCGTCAACCTTCCTTCCTCTTATATCCCTTTAGAGTACGGAATGAAGGACTGAACTGACTACTCTAAACTTGGCTAAGACACCCTGAAACCTCAAAGATAAATTCTACCTGGAGACCTACACCCTCCCCAACCTTGTGAAACCTCAAAGATAAATTCTACCTGCAGAACTCCGCTCCCCCACCATGTCAAAATCACCCCAGTTCCTGGAAACTGCAATTCTTGCAAAACCCCTTGCATACCAGAGGTCCCTATAAAAGGGGACAACATTTCCCCCAGGCGTGGCTCTACTCTACAACTGATATTGTTCCCGTGGCTTCTAGAGTCATCCCTCACAGGCTTTTCTTCAATAAAGCCTGCTCTGATCTGTCGAGGTCATGGTTATTTTCTCCTCTCCTTATTTTCACTTTAACTTCTGTACTTCCACACTTTCCTAACAACATGTACTTTCCATATTTTCTCATAACTCTGCAATGTTGGTTGAGGATAGAATTAAAAAAAAAAACAAAACTTACTGATGCCAAACCAAAGATGACGACTGAGTTTCTCTGCACAACCTTGGTTCTGGAAACCATAGCTGATTATCCATTCACTTTTTCATGTAGAAGGCTTAACCTCTTTTAACATCATAAATTCTCATCTCAACTCCCTTTGGTTTCTCTTCTTCACTGATTCTGAAGATTTGAGTGGCAACACCCAGAATTAGTGCTAGCACTCTTTGTTGTTGTTATATGCCGTCGAGTCAGCCCTGACTCATAGCGACCCCTCCTTGGGTTTCCAAGGCAGTATCACTACAGAAGTAGGATTGCCCAACCTTCCTTCTAGGCTATGAAAATTTAACAGCTCATGTAATCTGAATGTTAGATTTAGAACCTACACTTCTTGTCTAGGTAATTGATCACAGCCTCTTTGCAAATGATTTCTTTATTTGTACAATGATATCTCTTCACTTGAAAGATGAAATAAGTAAAGCAGCTACAATTACTGTGAAACAGTATGCAACAAAATGTCATATAAATGAGAACCAACAGAACTATTTTAGGACTCTGCTTAAATAACATCACAGATTACCAGCACACTTTTTCAAGTAACCAATGAGGTCAAATGCTTATTGTAGCTGATTAAATGATATATGTTGTGTGCAGTGGAGTAGATTTCAACTCATAATAACCCTATAGGACAGAGTGAAACTGCCCCATAGTGTTTCCTATGCTGTAATCTTTAAGGGAGCAGATGACCAGATCTTTCTCCTGGGCAGCTGCTGGTGGATTTGAACTGCCAACCTTTAGGTGAGCAGCCAAGTGCTTGACTTTTGTGCCACCAGGGCTCTTTGGTGCTAAAACTTCAAAATTATATATAGAAACTAAATGTGCAATGAGCTCTGGTGGCATAGTACCTAAGGCATTTGACTGCTAACCAGAAGGCTGGCGGTTCAAACCCACCAGCCACTCCTCGGAAGGAAGGTTGGGCAATCTACTTCCGTAGTGATATTGCCTCAGAAACCCAAGGAGGGGTAGCTATGAGTTGGATCTGACTCTATGGCAGTGAGTTTGTTTCATATATATTTCATATATATATATTCTAGATAGAAACAGCTAATCCCTTCATTTCCTTTCATCTGTGCTCCCCCTTTTTGCCCACTGAATGGATGACCCAAGATAGTCTTGACAAATTGCTTCAATTTCTATAGCTTTCCTCCTCAATCACAATACATATTTCTGGTTGGACAGTTTGGATACCTCTTGCCTCTTTGGGGGAGGAGGGGTGTGAATTTACTGGAAAGAAGCCACTGAATGACAGGTGTCTGGATTTGAAAATGAATTTAGAAGTCCTTGAACAGGTATTCTAATTTTTCCAAGACTGGCTCATTGATCTCTGGTGACAGTGAGTTTGCTCGCTCAGTTTAGGTTTTGGGGTGGGAAATTAGTTAGAAGACCGATCCCACTTTTGCCAAAGTGCCTAATCAAGGGCCTGGATGGATTTTAGGCTTTACTGTTTGTCTCTGGGAGGAGCTCTGGTGGTGCGGTGGTTAAAGCATTTGGCTGCTAACCAAAAGATCTGTGGTCCGAACCTCTCAGATGCTTCATGGGAGAAAAATGAGGCAGTCTGCTTCCATAAAGATTTACAGCCTTGGAAACCCTATGGGGCAGTTTTATGTCCTAAATGGTCATAGTAGCATAGTGGCTAAAGCACTTGACTGCTAACCAGAAGGCTGGTGGTTCAAACCCACCAGCCACTCCTCAAAAGGAAGGTTGGGCAATCCTACTTCCGTAGTGATACTGCCTCGGAAACCCAAGGAGGGGTTGCTATGAGTCAGGGCTGACTCGACGGCACATAACAACAACAACAAATGGTCACTATGAGTCAACTAAATAGCAATGGGTTTGGGTCTGTCTCTGGGTATCAGATACGTTGTCAGCTACAAATTACTGAAAGTTTCTTTTTGGGGAATGTTCCATTCCAGCCTGGGAAGTGGCATAGCCTCTTCTGGCAAATCCTTGGGAAGGAGTGTGTGCAGTCAGCAGAGGTAAGGGTTTGTCTTACCAAATACTTGCTCTGCATATGCCCCTACATTGCCATTGCCCCATAGTGGCAGAATCATCATATAAAAGAAAGTCTCTGAGGAAAATGACAATCCCTTCTTAGAAAGACACACATTCAAATTCTTAAGAGTTGAGGTACACAAGGTCCAAGGGCAGCCATATCTTTCCTCTAGGCTCAGAGGTTTTCTGAGGGTAGAAAGTGCTAAAGGCAAGTTGAGAGACTAGGAAATTTCCCCCTTTGGAAGTTGATGGGGGTTCTGCTGTGCAGGATACTAGTGCATCCCTTCAAGGCAGGGCTGAGAGAGAGTCCTGACTTCCTTGAGAGCAGATTAACCAATTGCAGGAAGGCATCAGACATTTTTCTGCTGCAGTGATAATATTTACACTTCAAAAAATAGTCTTTTCAAAGGGAAGAAGGGGGCGTGGATGCTTTAACTCTGGATGGGCCCTCTGCCTCTGCCTCTGCGTTTTGCCCTTTGTGTAGAATCGAAAAATCTCAGATGGAAGGAGATCTAGTAAATTATCTTCTCATTCCTTTATAGTCTCCAGTCTCAAGTTCAGACTACTTGGAGTTTATTAAGTGTTCATTAAGTGATAAATGACTGACTTACTGACAGAATGAATGTATGAAGTAATTCTTGCTTGCCTCTCTGGACCGTTCTCTGCCAACTCTCCAAGGAAGAGATCACAATCGCACTCTTCCTTTGCACCCCCTTCACCCCGCGCCCTGCCCAGCAGCTGCTCACCTTGTGCTGCTTCCACATGGCTCCCAGAGGCTTCACTTCGTGTTTGCTGTGCCGGCCCTCTTCTAAGCACTGGTAGCACACAGGGGTTCGGCAGCTCACGCAGTACATGCTGTAGTTCTCCATTTCGTGCTCCGGGCACGTGGGGAATTTGCGGGCCGCGCTGCCCCCTGTCGCCCCGGCGCCTCCCGGGCTCTTGCAGCCGTCGCCTCCGCTGGGGGCGCCCTGGGCAGCGCCAGGGGGCACAGCAGCAGTCTCGGCTGGAGCTGGCGGCGGCGGCGGCTGCACCAGGCGGTGCTTAGCGAAGGGTCCTCGGGACGGATGGCATTTAAGCTGGCAGGCAGCGCAGTAGAGTACGTCGCATTGCTCGCAGAGCGTGGCGGCTGGCTCCGGCGGGGTGCGGTCGCACAACTGGCAGATGGCCACGGCCGCAACAGCGGACGCCCCTGGTGAGCCCCCGCGGCCCTGCTGGTAGCGATGGACGATGGCCTCCAGCAGCCGGTTCCGCTGGAAGCCTCGCAGGCCGCGGTGGTCCAGGGAGGCGCTACGGTGGCACTGCGGGCACGTGATGGAGCTTGAGGAAGACGAGGACAGCGAGGAGCAAGCGGCGCCCCGGGCCGCAGCGGCGGAGGAGCCAGGTGGCGCAGGCACCATGGGCAGCACACGAACCCCGTTGGGGGACTTGAGGCTTGGAGTGTAGGAGCCATAGCCGCTGTCTGTCTCGCTGTACAAGCTCAGCTTGTCCGCGTGGTCTCCCCCACCTCCTGCACCTCCGCCACTGCCACTGCCGCTAAGGCCTCCAGCTGCGCTCCCGCCACCGCCGCTGCAAGCTGGGCCAGCCACCGGGTCGTAGTCCGAAGGAGGTGCAGCGGCGGCACCCGCGGGTAGCCCCGAGCCCCGGGAGTGCAGGAGCGGCTGGGGTAGATGCTGCTCGCTGTCCGGAGTCTGTACCGCGATGGTGCGAGCACAAGGCAGGCAGACGTTGTGAGAACAGGGCAGAATGATGGGCTCCCGAAACAGAGAGCCGCACACAGGGCACTTCAGCTCCTCCTCCATAGCTGCGCAGGCGGCCCTAGCTGTTTAGGGGAGTGAGAATGGTCGAAGCTCCTGAGGCAAAGGCGGAGGATAAGCGCGGTTAGCACCAGCGAAACAGGAGGCGGCGGACATCACACAACCATGCTTGCTTTACAAGCAAAGGGCACGCCCCTCTCTCTGTCTTGTGGCCACCGCCCTAAAATGATTAGGGTGAAGAGAGGGTAGAGGAGTCCTCACCTGCCTGCAGGTCTCCTGGGCCCAAAGGCTTCAACCTGCGGCCAGAGTCCGGAGCCGGTCCTACCTTGCTGCCCTGGCTGTAGCCTGCCGAGGCACTCTCTGTGATGAATCAGCACTAGCGCCGCCCGTGGCTGCAGAGCATTCCTCCTCTCCACATCTGGACCAGACGCCGGGCTGACGATTGCTAGCTCTCTTGTTTCAACCTTTTGGTTCCAGTGGGCAGCTAGCTGCCCAGAAGCTCCTTTTTAATCTGCCCCTCCTCCCAAAACAGGGGCGATCCGTAAGTGAGCAGGCACGTACACAAGTTTTTTGGCCTTGGGGCTGGATTCAGCACCAGAAGGCGGTGGACAGCGTTCGAACAGGGAAGGTGGAAGCCCAAGTTCCAGGATATGCATAGAAGAGGGCTGCTACCTGCCTGGACGCTGCGACCGCTGGCACCTCTGAGAAGCCCCAGGCAGGCCCAGAGAAAGCAGCTCACCTACCTCCCCGGCTGCTGCAGACGCGGGGCCGACTGCACGCGGGGTTTTCTTCCAGCGACTGGGATTGACCTGCTTCCCGGGTTCGCAGCCGCTTTTCCTGCGGCGCCTCTGACCTTGGCCGCGGAACTGGGAGGAGGGCGGGAGGAGGGCGAGCGCCAGGCTGGCTCGGGAATCCCCTCCTTGTCTCCCTCCCGCCACCCTCTCCTCCCAGCGAGGCGCGCAGTGGAGTTGTAATTTCCAGAGCTGAGAGTAATGGGGAGGAGGAAGAAGGAGGAGGCATCAGCTCAGCAAATAAGGGCTCTCCTCTTACTGCTAGGAGAGTCAAGGGGCAATTTTAAGAATTTCGCAGAGAGGATCATTGTTAATAACAATCCATTATTTGAATGGAGATTGCGTCTTGAATTAGTGAACTCCCAGCCCCACTCCGCCCCTCCTACCATCTACCTTGCCCATTCCTGCTCCATCCCCCACTCAAACCTTAAGAGTAAACACAGAGACCTAAAAAGGCAGTCCTTTACAAATGAATAGGTAGCATGGTTTGACAGTCACTTCCCAAATCTATGATTGAGTTAAAAATGAAAGGGCACAAAATGTCGGACAGCCTGAAGTCAAAGGGTAAGGTTTTATTTATGCCTTGAATCACAAGCCATTTTGTGTCTTCATTTCAAACAAGGACGCTGATCCTCGGTGAATGATAGTCATCTATACAGGCTAAAGGAGAACACAAGGTGGGGTTTACAAAAATAAGGCGCCCTCGCGAAACAGGAAAGCTCTCCGCTTTCTTCAGCCCTCGGAACAGAGAAAGCATCTTGGAACAGAAACAGCACCTGGGACCTGGCTTTAAACTGGCTGAGGGTGGGGCCCGGTAGGGAGGGCGGGAAACCGGTAAGCAAGAACATACACTTTATGAATGGAAAAATCTTCACATTTTCAAATGCCAGCCACGAACGGCGGGAACGGCCTCCCACCCCGCGGCCCCGGCTGTCTCTTTCTGTTCCTCTGTTCTCTTGCTGCTGCCGAGCAAGAGCAGAGGGATTGGGTGGGTGGGGATAGCAGAAGGGAAGCGCTCACAGCTCAGCCAGCTTTGCCTACGGAAATTTCCCGCTGGCATGAAATAGACACAAATTGGAAATCGTTTGTTTAACAACGATATGGATATTGAAGTAACTCCTCCCCCTTTTCCTGAGGTTCTCTGGTACTCCAAACAAAGGCTAAAGATAGGCATTGAAGCCCAAGGCTTGATTGCTAACATCTGCCAGTTACCGGGTGAGGGAGAGCAGCGCCTGCGGGCTGGTCAGCAGCTGCAGCTGTTGCATAGGCCCTGGTTCTGGGAGGGAGAGTCTGCAAGTAGAACACTTGGGGGAGGGACATGAGGATGCATCTCTGACAGTAAGCAATATGGCCCAGAACTCTGGGAGTCAGTACTTGTATTGGCTCCTTTACTGGCCACACCTTAGGGCGGGGAGCATTGGGGTTTTAGTGCTAGAATTCTTCTCTTCCAGGACAGAGACTTGTCAATTCCCTCTCAATGTACTTCATGTCCTACTACCACCCCTCTGTCATTGGAGGTTTGTGTGTTGCTCTGATGCTGACCTGGTTTCCTGACTAAGATGGACTAGGAAGAAAGGCCTGGCAATCTACTAAAAAATCAGCCAATGAAAACCCTATGGAGCGCAAAGGTGTGATGTCGTTCTGCGTGAGTCCAAGACTGTGAAAACAAACATCCTGAGAAAGCTGGTTATGTTTTCTTAGTCGTGGATCTTGGATCTGTTAAACTAGTATTATAGTAGCTAAATGAGATCATTGTAAATATTAATTACATTTTCTACTTCCTATGGGAGCTCTGGTAGCATAGTGGCTAAGGCACTTGACTGCTCACCAGATGGCTGGCGGTTCAAACCCATCAGCCACTCCTCAGAAGGAAGGTTGGGCAATCCTACTTCCGTAGTGATACTGCCTCGGAAACCCAAGGAGGGGTCGCTATGAGTCAGGGCTGACTCGACGGCACATAACAACAACAACAACAACTTCCTATGAATCTTAAGCTCAGCTTTGTCCATTGTTGAGCCGATTTCTTCCAGTTTATCTAATACCCTTTGCCTCACGGTTGAAGAACAGGCCAATCTAGTGCCAGATAGAGCATCCCCCAGAGTTAGAAGACCTGATTCTTGTCTCCTCCACTACAGGGAGCATAGAGCAATTATTTAGCCAGGCATCAGTATCCCCAGATGGGAGATGGTGACAAACCTATCCTAATCTGCTGTGTACAGATAAATCATATTGAGCATATAGTGGTTCAATAAGCCTTCAAAAAAAGTTGCTATGGAATCTACAGTTTCATGGCAGAAATGTGGTTGCATGGTGCAGGTGATTCTATAGTTGAATGCACTTAAAAATATATTTCTTGTGATTTAAGCAGTATAATCGCTCACCTCACCCCAGCCCAGGCTCCTGGTGACTAGCAAAACAGTCATAACCACTTATGGTTCTACTGTAAACAGTCCTCTTTCTGACAAGCAGCTATGCCTGAGATCCACTATGCTTTGTTCTTTCAGGCTGAGGTAAACTGCTTGGGGAGAGGGAGTTATGTTAAGGGTCATGTAAATCTTTTCTCTGTGGAGAAGAACTTATAATTTGAACAGTTCTTTCACTCAGTTTTAGCATAATTTTCTTTCCCTTGGGAAGGAAATCCATCTTATACATAGAATTCTACATTTACACATTTCTCACAAGCTCCATTCCCACCACCCCAATTCCATTACCTAAATTAGCTTAGCTTTGTTGGTGGGGGTGTAGTATCTTATACTGAGTGGGTCAATCAAAATGCACTTCTCACACCAACTGAATGAATGAGTCAAAAATTTCTGTTCTGTGTTACTTCTGTTCTGACACCAACTGCACTTCTTCCACTTATCCCTGGATCCAAGTCAGACCTCAAAAGTTAAAGGACACAGTCTTCCAGATAGTCAAGTCTGTCCAAGATGTCAGATACCAGCTCAAGCTTGGGGGTCCCTATTACACTCACTTCTGACCTGCTAGTTACAAATTTGAGGATTTCCCACTATCCTTTCAGGACATCAACCATAAGCTCAGAGATTCCCTGGACTCCCTTCATTTCTAACATAAAACAAACAAACAAACAATTTTAAAAGCCCCTTGCTGTCAAGTCAATTCAAACTCATAGTGACCATACAGGACAGAATAGAACTGTGCCCCCCCCCCCACCAGGGTTTCCAAGGCTGTAAGTCTTTACAGAACCACATTATCACATTGTTCTCTTGCATAGTGGCTGGTAGATTCAAAGAAACCTTTCAGTTAGCAGTCTAGAGCTTAACCATTGAGCCATCAAGGCTCCTTCACTTCTGATATACTGGATCCTGTTTCTCGGATTTGATAACTCACAAAAATGACTCATTAAAGTCATAAAAGCTCTATACTTATGATTACAGTTTTATTGTAGGGCAAGATTTGGGAGGATTCCCAATGAGGAGTTTCCATATTCCAAAGGATGCACTACCTTCCCCTGCGTACCCATGTCTAGCACCAATTAGGAAGCCCATGGTGTTTCTGTGCCCATAGCTTTATTGAAGCCTCATTACTTAGTGTAAGCATGATTGATTGAACTCAAACTCCAGACCCCCTGCCTTGAAGTCAGTTCCCACCCAAAAGTCACCTCATTAACATAACTTGTCAGTCAGGTATGGTCTGCAACCCTCATCAAATACACTTCAATCACTGGATACCAAAGTTTTGGAAATTTATCTCTTAGGAACCAAGGATAAAGACAAAATTCACTGGGTAAAGTTAGCTATAAGCCTCACAGGAGTTTGTATAAGCAGGAGTTACATAACTAGCTTCGAGTGCATCACTGTATAGAACTATAATTACTAACAATTGTCAATGCCATCTATAAAATGTCTTCTTTCTGTCCCAATTGTGTCATGTATATAGAGAAGTCATTTTATTTCTCTAATCTTCAGGCTTTTTCTATTATAAAAGTTAGTGATAGAACTAATTGAACTTGAAATTTCTTTCCTATAATTAAAAGTTTCTGGCATAGTGCCTAAGGCATTTGACTGCTAACCAGAAGGCTGGTGGTTCAAATTCACCAGCCACTCCTTGGAAGGAAGATTGGGCAATCGACTTCCATAGTGATACCGCCTCAGAAACCCAAGGAGGGGTTGCTATGAGTTGGATCTGACTCGACAGTAGTGAGTTTGGTTCGGTTTTTGGTATATTAATTATTATTGAGAATGATGTATCCCACGTATAAAAAAACACCAGGTTTACCTTCTGATAGAGACTGGTGGCCCCTAGACACC